AACTCTTACACATCCATGTACTCTAACCTCCCCCCCACCCACCCCATGGTTCGTTTAAGCAATGCATTGTCCAGTATAACAATATATAAAAAAATCCTTCCAATTCTTCCATAGTATGTCATCGTTTTACCCACAACATACACAGTCGCTCCACTTGACAGTATATTCTGTGAAGTGCTTTGAGACGTCTCGACCACGCGATAAGGCACTATGTCAAACGCAAGGATTATTATTATTAATATTAGGACGATGATGTCCATTGTTATTAATCCCACTTTGCAGCATTTTTCCCCTTGATGTGTTTATCTGCTCAGATGCTTGTCCAGCTCCCTGGCGAGCGATTCTATTGCTCCAGCCCCACTCGCCAGAGGTATGCACTTACTGCGCTAACCGTGTGGATGTCCCATTGATTTGGCGGGGTAAGGGTTACAATTACAGTTCGGTTGCTCTGGTGCCAGACCTTGACACCCAGCTATGAAGTTGGAGGCCAGCATTGATTTTTGTGTCAAAGTTTGGATCTCAGACCAGGACAGTGCTGGGGGGGGGGGGGGGAGGGTTGTTCCGTCCTTCGGATGAAACGTTAAACTGAGCTCCCGCCTGTGCCTTTTCAGGTGGACGTTAAAGATCCCTCGGCACTGTCGGAACAGGGAAAGGAGTTTTTCCCAGCCTCCTGGCCAACAATTCCCACCCCACCCCACCCATAAAATTAGTCACTCACTTCATTGCTGTTTGTGGGACGTCGCTGTGCACAAACAGTCTGCCGTGTACAAATACACAGTCAAATACACTTCACGGTAAAATCTTGCGAAGCGCTTTGAGACACCTGGATGGCGTGACAAGGTGCTAAGTTACTTGTTCCGCTGATAAAATTGCTGAATCTCGTGTCATTTTGTCACTGAACTACAATTTTCGGTACAAAATGATGGGACGCCCATTAATCGTGAATGCTTTAGATTGGCGAGGACGGACTGCAAACCTATTCAAACATGGGGAGTTGAGTTATCATTTTGAACGACAATCTTGAAGACAAGACGTTCCTGCAATTACACAGTCGCTGCCCTTTACGGTAAATCCTGCGAATCGCTTTGAGGTGACGTGAAAGGCGCTACAACAAATGCAAGGATTTTTGTGTGGGGTGGGGTGGGGGATGGGGGGTGGGGGTGGGTGGTGGTTGATAGTGCTGTGGGTGCAATATACTGTTATTCAGTGGCGGTGAGTTACAAAAATCGTGTGTCATACCTTCCAAAATCCTCATTATTTTTTTTCACAGTGAGGAGGGGTGGTGGGAGGGTGGAGAGAATGATCAAATCGAAATATCATTATCACGAGGAACACAGAGAGGGTGAAAGTTTGTGGGGTGGGGGGGGGGGGGGTGTTATGTGATAACCAGTGTGTAACGTGTGTCTGCCACCAACCCCCCCCCCACAAGTGCTTTCGAGAATGCATATAAATAAAGATGACATAATTTCAATACATCGAAATGCTAAGCAATGCTGTCATCCCCCTCTCTCCCTCTCTCCCTCCCTCTCTCTCTCTCTCTATCCTCTGGTTGCCATTTGCTGCAGATTGATGATAAAGACATCAAGCTTGAGACCAGGGGGAGGGAGGGAGGGGGGAAAAGGGGGGGTGAGTGAGTCTGATCAATGCAAAGGTGGGGGAAGAAAGAGAGAGAGAGAGAGAGAGAGAGTGAGTGTGTAAGTGAGTGGGGGAGAGCTCTGGGCTGGGTTTTGTATGAATGACCCTGAGAGCGTGCGCGCAACTGCGCTTCACGCTGCGGGTATATAAGTAGCGTAGAGTCTCTCCTCTGTCTGTCTCCCTCACTGTGGAGCAGCGTACAAGTAACTTTCAGCTGGTGGTGGTGGGGAGGGTGGGAGGGGGGGGGGAGAGCTTTTGCAAGCGCAAAAAAAAAAAGTGGTGGTGTGGGGTGGGAAGAAAGAAAGAAAGAAAGAAAGGAAGGAAGGAAAGAAAGAGAAAGAGAGAGAGAGAGAGGAAAAAAAACACCCAACAAGTCTCAACAACGCCTTGCAATGGATCTCAGAACCTTAGCTATATGTCCGACCTGTGCAGACACAGCCTACAACCACAACTCTTTCAAGGTATCAGTCATTTCAATATATATATATATATATAGATATATGCAGATAGAGAGAGAGAGAGAGATGGAGAGAGATGGAGAGATGGAGAGATAGAGAGAAAGAGAGAGAGACAGAGAGAGAGAGAGAGAGAGAGAATAATGCAGATCTTTAACATTGCCTTTGTCGATCTCTTTTATTTTTTTTGTATTTGGAAGTGGGGCTGTGGGGGAAGGAGAGAGAGAGAGAGAGGGAGAGAGAGAAAGAGGGGGGGGGGGGGAAAGAGAGAGAGAGGGAAGGGGGAGAGAGTGCAGGGGGTGTTGGAGAAGGGGGAGAGGGGGGGAAAAAAAAGATCTGTTTGCAAAAGCAACTTTTTTTTTAACACACAGGACTGATTTTTTTTTGGAGGGGGGGTTCGTGTCGAGAGCGTTTGCTTTTAAGTTTGCTGCGAGTTTTCAGATTGTTTTTTTTTCGGTGGAGTTGAGCGAGAGTTGAGTGTGAAAGAGGAGAGTGATTTCAACTGGAGGGGGTGTGCAGGGGAGAAGAGCATTTGATTTCTCTTATTTGTGGGGATTGGAGGGGAGAGGAAGAGGGGGGGGAAGGAATGCAAAGAGAAAAATCAAATGAATTCAGCTTAAAGTGCAATGCAATGCAATTTCATTCCAGTTGAATCGCGTAGTGAGAAGAGAGAGAGAGAGAAAGAAAGATTTTTTTAAAAAAAATGTATTGGGATTTGTATTTCTTTCCTTAAATAACAAAAAAAACTTTTAGCTTAGTGAGATTCTGTGTGTGTGTGTATGTGTGTGTTTTTTTGCACAGAGTGTGAGTGTTTGCAGGGTTTTTTTTTCCTGGGGTGGGGGGTGGTGGGGGGGAGGGAAGGCAGAGAGATGAAATAAATGAAGACCAGGGGGTGGGGGGAAAAAAAGAGAGAGAGAGAGATCTCTTTCTTTTCTTTTTCTCTTTTTTTTTGTTCTTTTTTTCCTCTTTCTTCTTTTTTTTGGGTGGGGGGGGGGGGGGTTGGAGTGTGTGTGTGTGGTGGTGGGGGTGGGGGTGTTATTCTGAAATCCTTTCGAAATTGGCACCCACTTCCACTTTTGTGTGTGTGTGTGTTGTTGTTGTTGTTGTTTTGTGTGTGTGTGTGTAGAGAGAGAGAGAGAGAAAAAAAAAACAACAACAAATCAAACCACCTCTAAAGGTGTTGGTTCCTCTGCTCAGGACTGGGAAATAAGGCAGAAAAAGGAAGGGGGAGAGAGAGGGAGAGAGAGAGAGAGAAATCGTCCCATGAACAGTAATCCGATCCCCTTGTTCATCCCCCCCCCCCTCCCCACCCCCTGTCCTGAGTATTTTTTTTTGTTTTTTTTTCCAAACCCAAAAAAAAAGGGATGATTTTCCTTGGCTGATCCGCAGGGTAGCGTTCTACTCTTTCTTTCTTTCTTTCTCTCTGTCTGTCTCTCTCTCACACACTCTCTCCCTCTTTCCCTCTCTCTCCCTCTCTCTCTCTCTCTCTCTCTGTCTCAGTGCAATCCTCTATGACATGTTATTGTGTTGTGTGTGTGTGTGTGTGTTGTGTGTGTATGAGTGTGAATGTGTGTTATGTCCTTGAACCAATTTCTGATCTCTCTTTCTTTCTCTCCCTCTCTCTCCTCTCTCTCACACTCACTCACTCTTTCTGTGCAATCCGTATCACACGCTATTCGTATGTGTGCATATGTGTGCTATGTCCTTAAACCTATTTCTGATCTCTCCCTCTCTCTTTCTCTCTCCCCCTCTCCCCCCCCACACACACACAGCCTCCCGTTATAATCTGACTTGTTCCATCTCATGTCACACACATCAGCCTCTCTTAAACAAGTTGCATTAAATTGCAATTGCAAAGCTTCCTCCTTTTTTTTAATCTCCCCCCCCCCACACACACACACCTATTTACACTGATTTTAAGTTAATTCATGAAAAAAAAGACAAGAAAGAGAGAGAGAGAGAGCAGGAAAGGAGACGGGCTGGATATATACCTACGCCTTTCCCTGAAGCATAAGGTGTTAGGTTTGATGCAGTGAACCATTGAAAGTCGTGAGAATGGAGGTGATTTATATATTAAAAAAAACAAGTTAGCTAAACAAAACTTTTGCTAAATAGCCTTGGGGACTTGGCCGGAAACCGCTGGAACCTGTCCTGGTTTGACAGCATTTTAATATCTGAGCCTGGGAACATCTGCACTGCCTGTGTGTATGTGTTTGTTTTTAAAGTAAAGCTCCTTCTACCCCCCCCCCCCCCACCCCCAAGTATGTCTTACATTCCTCTTAACTACAGGGGCAATGTTAATTTGTGTTGTTGTTGCTGTTGTTTGGGGGTGGGCGTGATTGCTTATTTCAAACCTTAATAATAATGATAATCCTTGCATTTGATATAGCTCTTTATCATGTCGTTGAGACGTCTCAAAGCGCTTCACAGGATATACTGTAAAGCGGATTGACTGTGGATGATTGGGTGAAAGGCGACAGTATTATTATTATTTTTATTATCTTTCCTTTGAGCAGCAATTGATGGGTTGAAATAAAAATCCTGATTATTTACCGACCAAACAATTTGTGTCATCGATCCACAGTCGAAAATCACTTAAAAGTTACGAGTCTTCCTATCGCTGAGGAAGGGTACCAGTGAGTAGGGCTCCAAAATTGGGCTTGTTTTTTGGGAGATGTGTAACCCTTGGTTACCAGCACCTAAAATCATAGCTGTCAGCCTGACGATTTGTGGTAAGCAGCAATATCAGAGAGCAGGGGATTTGATTGGCGCGACATCTCTCTGGCATCTAAGTGTGCGTCAGCTGATGACTTGTTTTCAAGAAATACTTTTTATTTTTAATTTGCGGTGCTTCTAAACCCAAGTAACGTGCCCTCTGCCCCTCCCCACTCCCTCCCCTCTCCCCCCGCCCCAAAGATAATTCCAATCTGGGACCAATAGAAAAGTGTATCACAATCTGCCTTTATCCTCCATTCCACTCCAATACAGTAGACCAGACTGATGTTATCTGAGCACAGACACAACACACTGCTTAACTGAGCTAGATACTGGAATGTATTATTTCCGATTTTGCTCAGGTTACAGCTTGGAGACGAAGCAATAACATTACTCGGGGGTTAACCTGTTTCGGAGCATTTTAAGTAACCGGGTTGAGCTTTCACTCGAGGTAAACGCGCTTGTAGTAGTGGAGTCATCTCCCTGTATTCTCCATCAAAAGTGCTTCACAGAATTTTACTATCAAGTGAAATTATATTGGGTAGAATTACGTGGATTTTGGGGGCGAACCCGGCAGCCAATGTCCCACAAGCAGCTGTGGAGTGAGTGACCGATAGCTGTCGATGTGACTTAACCAACACAAAGCAGGAGATTTAACGTGAAATGCTTTTAGCTAACGCAACTTTGTTTCTTTCCTTTTTTTTTCCCAGGGCAGAAAAATGTCCCCATCTAGACGACTGCTGTTCATTTCCATTACCCTCACTGTATACATTGTGGATGGCATCACGGCGACCGAAACGCTATGTGGCGGTGAACTGGTAGACACACTACAATTCGTCTGTGGTGAAAGAGGATTTTATTTCAGTAAGTTGACAGCAGAACTTTTTTCCAAAAAACCTTTGCGCTGTGAATAATCTCTGTGCAGTCATTTAGGATTTGGCGGGAAGAGGATAAAAATAGTAATAATCTTTGCATTTGATGTAGTGCCTTATTGTGTCTTGGCGACATCTCAAAGCGCTTCACAAAAAATATACTGTAAAGTGGAGTGACTGTGTATTTTGTGGGCGAAGGGATGGATGATAGCCTCCGTCTTAACTCCGTGAACCCATTCTACGTTGTGACAGTGTGTCCGTGACATTTCTTTTAAGAGCTTCTCGAACACACCATGTGCTCGCTCGGGTGTGCTGTGCTGTGTCCCTCCCCGGTGCCTGCTCCCTCCAAAGCAAACGGAATGTGCAATCAAACAGAAAAGTGTGAAGTTGAGCTGGACAAAGCACCGGGCTTTATTAGATCCTGTGGAAAGCTTTGGAGGTCTGCGGAGGAATAGGAGGGTGGGAGGTTAGGTCAGAAGTGTGCGGGGTGGCGGAGGGGGTGGGGTGGGGGAGGGCGAAATCTTGCTTGTATTTTCAGGCTGCCATGTGAGGACCCCAATCTGACAGCAGCCAAATTCTTTCCACAGTCCGGACATGCGTGCATCAATCTCAGTCGGAACACTTGGCCTAGCAATTGGAGTGTGACATGATTGCAGCAGGGTTGGATAGCATGAAATTTTGTTGTTCTGTCATTCAAGGGCAAAATTATATATATATTATATAATATTTAACCTCTGTGTTATATATTATATATATGTAATCTCTAAAGTTCAAGATGTGAGTTTGACCCAAATAACTTAGGAGCTTGAAAAGATGCCCAATAATAACCCCTAGAATGTTGCAGGTTAGAATGACCGTATATCAGTTCACTCCCTTAAACAAGTCGCGTTGTCTTGAAACAGCGTGGGAAGTCCTGTAACTGCAAAACACTTGGGAGAGGATAAGGAGGTTTGGGATAAGGGCTGAAAGGAAAAAGTTCAACTGGCTGCTTCCTCAAGGATGGGACGTTGGTAAACTTGACTGGATTATAATTTTTATTGTTGTCTTCAACTGGGACTCATCACCAGGGATGTTTTTCTGGAAAAGGGAGAGGACATTGAGAATAGAGTGTAGAGGCCGTTTGATTTCCCGTAAACATCCTCCTTGTTTGCTGGAGCACAATAAAGCTTCTCGACTGCATTACGTTTTCCCTGTTGTCCCTAAATGAGCGCTTTAGTCAAAGGCATCGGATACTCTTGGTGGTAAGAGAAAAGGAACAATGAGCAGGCAGGTGAGGTGCGAGGTAAATGAGGGTCTTGACTGGGCAGGGCTGGTGTCGGTGGTGGGGGGAATAAAGTAATCTGGAGGCCTGCAATTGTGTCGAATAAGCACATTTTCTGGCTCTTGTCGTCTTTTGGGCTTGAAAAGGACACAAAGCTAAATAGCTCTGCTCGCGGTTACAAAGGGGAGCTTGTTTATTGCTACATTCTTCTGATTAAAGTAATACTACTGGAACATTCCACGTTCAATATCAAGGCATTTTTAATGATCCAGGCTTTTTGAACTATGCACCATGGAATAAAGAGGAAAATGTTGATTGAAATGAAGTGGGGGGGAGGTGGGGTAGGGTTGAGGGAGAGTAGGGTGGAAGGAGAGAGGAAAGCAGCCCACACATACAAACACGCACGAAAAGGGTTTTATTTATTACACGTGCGATGGTTTGATTTCCATTCCAGCAAGTCTATAGAAAGGAAAGCAAACAGACTGACCTTGCTTAGGAGGAATATATCGTCACGGACTCATCTCTTTTTTTTGTTACAAAGGGTACATAATTTGCGGGTCTTTTAACTGATCCAGCACTCGCATCGTCCCATCAAACTTGCCTGTCTCTGCAACTGTTTTCGGTTATCGGGCTAACCATCTGTAAGGCTTTGCAAATCAAAGGCATATACAGAGAAGCACGAAAACAACAATGTTAAGAGGAGACTATCTCTTAGTCAAGAGATAAAGCTCACTTGGACTCATCTTCGCACGGAAATCTGAGCCTGTCACAACAATGAGGCTTAAGTGCTTTCTGCTTGTACTTCTAACAGATTTGACACTCTCAATAGAAACTCGAAGGGAAGGAATGCACCAATCAGTGAGATTTTCGAAGGATAACCCACTGTCTGCAGTGCCTTTAGCTGCCGATAAAATAAAACGTGAACAGGGTTCACAGCAAACTGACATAAGAGGTGACGCCTGATAACCTCAGTCTCCAGTGTGGTTATCTTTACTCTGACCCTGCAGTTAATGCCAGATAGTTCATTGGACTTCTTGTCCTTCTCTGATTCACTCCGTGCATTCATTTCTGCTGTGTTGGCAAGGTCAAGTGGCTTGTGATTTAGCCTTATCTGCAGGTTATTCTCTCTCTCTCTCTCTCTCTCTCTCTCGCTTTCTCTCTTCCCAACATATTAAATTAACTGCACATAGTCATTGTCATCCCCCTACAACTCTCCTCCCTGGTAACTAGCTAAGTGGATTGGGGACTCACAAAGGGGTGGGGTGTGGGAAGGCTTTATATTTATTGCGCCCACAAAATATACAGTCAATTCACTTTATATTATATTCTGTGAAGCGTTTTGAGACATCTCAATGACACGTTAAGGCACTATATCATAGGAACACGAGTAGGCCATTCAACCCCTTGATCCTATTCCGCAATTCTATTAGATCAGTTGATGTGTACCTCAACTCCAATTACTCCCCTTCGCCCCATATCCCTTGATACCCTATCCACCTCAGTCTTAAAATGCAAGGCTGATTAATATTGTTATTATATAAATATATGTATATTTTAAAAATCTCCTGCTCAAAAAAAATTCTTCTGTCTTTCAGGTAGAGCCACCGGACGGGCTAATAGTCGCAGACAAAACCGTGGAATAGTTGAAGAATGCTGCTTTCGAAGCTGTGATTTGAATCTGCTGGAACTTTACTGTGCGAAACCTGTAAAGAAAGAACGCGACTTGTCAGCCACCCCTTTCCACCTTCTACCATCAGCCAGTAAGGTTCGTGTCTGTCTCTCTTTCCCTTTTAACTTTGACGCCAGGCGGGCCTCACGCCTGTTAAGCGCCCCGAGTCACTGCTTGAGGGGCGCTATATAAATGCCAGTCGTCGTTGTTGTCTTGCAAGTCGGTCTGAAATGATAATGGTAATCCTTGCATTTGATGCAGCGCCTTGTCATGTCTTCGAGCCGTCTCAAAGCGCTTCACAGAATGTACTGTAAAGTGAATTGACTGAACATTTTTGTGGGGGAAATGCCCAAATTCCACCCGTAAGACTTTTTATGTCTTAAATTGAACCGGGGGGAAATCTCCCCACTTCACTCTTCATCTAGAAGCCAAACTAAAGGAGGCTTTTTTTCCTTCCCACTGTTGTTACAAGAGAACCCGGTTTCCCAAATGAGACTGAGTTTGTCCATAAATTGCCACAGTCCCATGCAACCTTTGCAATTTAAGGCAAAATGGTCTCATCAGCTAAGACTGGGTGGAATTTCAGGCATGCGTTAGGTTGGCACCAGTCACTGTTTGGTTACAGGTATGATGAGAGAAACTAATATTAACTAGTGAAGCAAAAGGGGAGATGTTTTTTGAGTAGATAAACCCTTGTGTGTGTGTGTGTGTGTGTTCCATGCAGTAAACTTCCTGTGATTTACTCAACTTCAGAGTAAGTTTGAAAATCTTGATCTGTTTAGGGAGGCGTTCTCTCTCTCTCTCTCTCTCTCTCTCTGTCTCTTGGGAGCCCCTGGTCTGCTCTGAGCATCGCAGTGCTTTGGCACAGCAGCAAGCTGGCCTGTCAGTTTGTTCAGTGTTTGCCTTCCTCTTGCTTTGCCTTCTGTGCTCATCTCCTCAAAACTCACTCTGGCTCACAGAGGTTATTGTTTGGAAAAGGGATCAGCTGGGCTAACAGAACCCTTCAAGACCCTACTTTCTCCTGTTTACATGCAAAGCTCATTGCCATTCTCCCCTCTCCTCTCCTTTTGGTGGATCAGACATGACAGTCCTTAACTCTTACTGGAGTATTCAGCATTGAAGTTGCATTAGCATAAGAGGCAAAACGCAGGTCGATTGTGAACAATATCAATCATTTACGACAACTCTTTATAATGGGTTTCCCGCTTGCAAAGAGTCAGTGAGAAAGACGGCTAAACTGTAGAGACTGGACGGAGCGTTTTTGACGAGCTGTCTGTGGGAAGCCATTCGGGAACACATTCTGATTCTCCAGGGCCGACGATTTAATTTTTTTTCGCTGCTGCCGACCTTTCTCATCCGGAATGATTGCGCCAGGAAGATTCTCAGCCTCCCTGCATTCTGCTGGCTGTGCAATTGAGTCACAAATCTGATAAGCTTCCCCTATCTCTGAGATCTGACAGTCGTGTGCAATGGCTGCAGACTTGACAAGAAGGGAAGAGCAAGTCAACAACAAGGAAGGGTGGCGTGCGTGTGTGTGTGTGTGTGTGTTGTACCGCTGTGTTATGGGGCGTATGTGAAGTTCCGCAGTCAATTCAGGTTACAGAGGAACCTCATATTAAACACACCCACACACTTGATAGATGACCGATTCTTGAAAGGAACTGTAGGGCAAGTCTCTTAACTGTTTGTGCATATTTGTAACGTGAATATGTAAAAGCACTCCCCCACCCAAACATTTCTCCCCTTCTGCCCTGAAATGAATCCCTTTTGTCAGATGAATTTGTACACAACAGGGACCAGCGGTGACCGATTTTTTTTTTAAGACCTAATCTCTTCTTTTATCTTAAATACCAAAAATCCAGAGCAAAAAGAGGCCTTTTTTTTAATAAAAAAAGCAAATTGAGAGAGACCTTTCAAATGATATTTCTCAGTCGGGTGTCACCACTAACTAGCTGAGTGTCTCAGGTCATGTCAGACTATTTCCAGTATTAGTGTTACTCCTTTTGATATCGCCCACAGAGAACTCCCAGACAAGGTCACAGAGCTACACCTTGTTTTTCTTTTTGCAGTGCTCAGCTGCAACGACGCTCATCATTAATATTTTGCTTGCGAGCAAGAATCACAAAAAGCCGATTGATCCGCTGTCTCCCTGAAAGCTACTTACCGCACGCAAATTGACTGCCTCCAAAGTCGTTACAGTGAATCCCGTGAAAGCGCTTTGAGATTAAACAGTCTGAGACCTGTCCAGTGCGAGGGGCGCTATGCAAGTGCAAGTTGTTGTTGCTTTGATGTGGGTCGGTCAGCGTTAAACCTGTGAGGACATCTGACTCTTTCTCAACTAGCTTCCTGAGAGCTGGAGAAGAGCCCAAAGTTCCGCACGGTCTTTGCTTTAAGATCACTGTTCTAAGATCCAAGATGGGGTAGAATGCTAAGGCTATGGCCTTTTAATGTAGAGACTTAATTTTTCGTAGAAAGACTGGCTTCCAAATTCAGAGCTGATTCCAAGAATCTTTGCTCCGTCTTATCTTAAATTGTAAGACTTGAGGCTAAGGCCATGAGGATTCCTGTGCCTGGGGTAGTTCCAATGATGCCATCATGACCTCGAGATGAATCTGTCTTAGATCACAGGCTTTCTCACTAAACCTGTTTTGCTTTTGATTTGCAGGAAAGCTTCAGGAAACCTTTGGCAGCCAAATATTCCAAATACGACTTTTGGCAGAAGAAATCTGCCCAGCGTCTAAGAAGAGGCATCGCTCCAAGCCTCGCGGCCCAGAGGATCAGACGGCAATTTGAGGAAATCCAGAGCAAACAGCGTGTCCGAATGCACAAGCCACTTCTAACTCTCCCCGCCAAACCACCCCTTGAAGTCAGAGCGTCGTCGGAGAAATATTTCAGCCGAGAATGATGAAGAAAAGCGGGGGTGTTTTTTTTTTTTGCACGTTTGTTTTGTGTGTGATAAAGGACAGGGATGATAGCTTTGTTCCTTCCTGACGTCATTTCTGTGGCATTCCGACCTGAGTCCTACCCCTCTCTCCCGACCTTACCCTCCGCCTTCCCCACCTGACCCCACCACCACCTCCTCTCCTCTAATTCCTTCCCTCCTTCCCTCGACCAGCAATGAAATGCAAGTGGCCCTGGTAAGAAAAGCGCTTACAGGCCTGGTAAGCAAAACAAGCCACAGGGTCTGAGACATTTGGACCAAACAGGCAACTCTACAGACTACAATCTTATTTTTTTTCTCTCTTGTAAAGTTCACACGATGCATTATAGATGATGTCTTCTGTTGTTCTGCACCTATATAAGAAGGGATACCAACACTTCATGGAATATATAGTGTAATCAATCAATCAGTCAATCAATCAGTCAGTCAACTGACCCAGATCCTGCACCATTTTTAACCACGACACAAGACGGATGTGTGACGGACTTGAAAAAGGAAATGGTGTCTGCAGTTTCACGTTGCCACAGATTGCGTTGATTTTTTTTTGCCGTCGTTGTTTTGTTTGGTTCATTTTGTTTGCCCCTCCCCTCACCTTCCCCCCCCCCCACCCCTCCAATGGCACTATTTTTTTTCATGAACGTTTAAAGTGTAGCGACACACATTGTGTTACGGTGCTAACTTGCTTCGAGAGAAGCAAAGCGGCTGATTCGAAGAAGTGGGATTTGATAATGCACGGATGTCGAACAGAACTTGAACCAGACCTTTCCGTTTTAGGAAAAGTGCGTGTGGGTGCGTTTGTGTGTGTGTGAGTCGTGTGTGTGCGTGTGTGTGTGTGGGCACGTGTGTGCGTGCGCACGTGTTTAAAAAAAACACAAAAAAATTTTAAAAACAGTTTAGCTTGGTTACAACAGTGCAAGGTAGGCAAAGGGAAGATGAGGCACAAAAAAAATTACAAAATCAAAGGGAAACAGCAGTGATGTTATGATTTTTTTTGCTGTTGCAACTAATGTTATTTCTTATTCATAGTAGTTATTTGCTTTTGCTTCAGAACATACTTGAACTTGTATATTTTCAATGCCCCAGGGTCAGATTAGTCCAAGCGATATCTTGCAATGTTGAGCCGCCAAGCTATTAAAAGTAATGGCACTGCATAAAGGCATTATTTATTTTATGTAAAATATATATGAAAAAAAATGGTCCAAATAATGTACTTAGCACTGATGAGCAACTGCAAAGACAGATAAACTATTTTGTCTAATTTTGTACTAGTAAAGCTTTCGTAGATGCTTTGTACCAAAAATGAGAAAAAAAAAAAGTTTTTTTTTCAATACGAGTGTTATTTGGTGTTTGAAACCTCTGTGAGGTGCCTTTATTCAGCCAGAGAACCTCAATCTCTTTTGGAAACTAGTCTGTGTATCCATGCTCACTGCTGTCAGTTGTGAAGCCATCAAGTATAATTTTACTTGAGCCCAGTTCATCGCTGTTTTTAGATCTCTGCGTTGTGTGTTAAACAGCTTCCTTCTTTTTAATCTTTTATTTGTTTGTTCGTTCTTGTGTTTTTTTTAATCTTTTAAAAAAAAATCAATTCTGAGTTTTGAGTCATTTCGAAAAGATGCCATCGTCGCTTCGTGAATAACGAAAGCTTCCCGTGTTTTCTAAAGAAGAAAGAAGAAATGAATTCAAAACCGACCACACTGAAGTGATATTCAGAAAGCATATCGTTCTTTGTCCAACCGATTGATCAGCTAGTACGAAGGGTAACATCCATAATTGCATTAGTTAAAACGAGAGCTTTTTACTTTTTTAATGTTTAGCAGATACAGTTAAGGTGTACTTTCCCATGACTAATATAATGTCCTGTATTTAACATGTGCACTCGGAACAGCACTAGACACTAGTGGAAGATGAGATTCACAATCATTGTACTTTGTTTTTAATATCAATAAAAGCAATTTATTACAACACATCCCTGTATCCTTGACTCTTATTAAACCGTCTCTCGGCTCAAGGGGCTAGCGTCTGCACACCCTGGATAAAATCGCCCACTCACTTCCTAGCTCTCCGTGGGACATTGCTGGTAGTAAATTGGCTGCCGTGTCCACCTATAAACAAAAGGCAGTGAGCATTCTGATGGTGCAGGGTCCTATAGGAATATAAGTTATTATTTACAGTGTATCCTGTGAAGCGCTTTGAGACGTCCTCCTGAGATGAAAGGCGCTGCATCAGATGCCAGGATTATTGTTAATTTTTTTAACACAGGTATCTGCCTGCAATACAACTGCGGTAAAAATATATGATTGTCTCAAAAAATTGTAAAACTTTAATCTCGGGACCTGTTGCGAAGCGTGCCGCTGTGATAATTCTGCTGTTAAAACCCAAATGAAATTTAGCCGGGTCTGCCTGCAACACTTGTTTACAAGTCAGGGATCCTCAGTTATATAATTAGTAAATACTATTGCCAACAAACGTTCAATTAGCAAATTACAATTAGATTGTCTCCTGGAGCAGAGGAGCAGCACAAAGCCAGCATTGTGTTGGCTCCACAATAGTGCGGAGTACTCCAGCACTGATGGCAAATGAATGGGGAATTCAGTAAGAAAATACCATGGAGGAACCAGCACAGATTCTCATTGAGCTTCTCGTTGAAGGTGAAATGATGGTACTTGGGTTGGAATAAAATAAAAATGTCTTCGGGAGTGAGGGGCTAGGGTGGGGGGAAAGGATAGGAAAAGTGCGATATCGCATTGGAGGGGAAACTTGCAAGAATTATCACATTGTATGCAGCGCATTCCACACCCCACCCCCACCCACCCTCCCATCTCAAAGCTGTGTGTGTGTAAAGTTGTTGCTGCTAATTTTTTTTCCTTCATCAATCTCCCCCCTCCCCGCCCCCCCCGAGCGTAATGGTTAATACCAATAATAACCCTTACAACTTGGCACAGATTTCTCCCTGGGAACATGTTTCAAAATGCCTTGCGGGATGCAGTGTGAAACGTAGTGACTGTGTATTTTGTAGACGCATGCGCTGTTTCCCCTCCCCCTCCAATCTTCCCCCCACTCCTACAAACGTCTCCTGAACTTTGGTCAGTGAATGCTCAAAATCATTTGTCAACAACACAGAGGAAACGTCTGTGTCGGAGGCATAAGAGACCTTTGTCCTACGACGAAGCCGACTGCTTTTTTTTGAGTGTTGAATGGAAAGAGCTTCTGGAAGACTGTGATCTTCGTTGGCTCTGCTCCTAGTCTAATTCTGTCACTGAAGAAAGATGTAACTGCCTTCTTTCTGTCTCAAAGACTTCATTGCTCTTTGGAAATTGATCTTGGAGCAGCTATCAATGACAAATTCATAATAATAATCCTTGCATTTGATGTAACGCCTTATGTAGTTGAGACCTCTCAAAGAGCTTCACAGAATATACTGTAAAGTGGGATGACTGTGTATTTTGTTTGCGAAATGCCGACAATTCCTGATTCCTATCACCAGCCTCAAGTCTTTTTCTTGGTGGTGGTGGTGGTGGGGTGGGGGGGGGGGTGGTGGTGTTGTGGGGAGGGTGTATGGGCGTCAGGAGGAACCACATAGTAACTGAGGATCAATGGCTAGAAATTGTTATATAAAAATACCAAACACAGAATGGAAATGGGTATTCAAGCGGTCACAACTTTTATAGTATTGATATTTTTGGAGCAATCTCTCGCCTTGTTACAAAGTTTGCTTTTATAATAATAAATAATATTCATAATAATTCTTGCATGTGATTTAGCGCCCTATCACATCATCAAAACACCTTGCAGCTCTTCACAGGATTCACTGTAAATCGTATTTTGTAGGCCAACTCGGCAGCTAATTTGCGCACACAGCAAAGACCAAATATTTTTGTATCGGGGATTGTTGACCAGGACATCAGGAGAAAGAAACTTCTTCTGAATAGTGCCAATGGGATCTTAAGCGTCCACTCAAACACAGAGAAACTCAGGTGATGTGTTAGCTGAAGGATGGCACCTCTGACAATGCAAGATTCCTCTAACACTGACTGCACTGCACTGGAGTGTCAGACTAGACTGTGAGCTCAAAATCTGTGCAATCGTACTTTTTAAGACAACTATTAGGCTAAAGACTAGATGGAATAGTGGACTAGGTTTGTCTCTAACACTGGAGACATCACCTTGGAGAAGGTGAATTAAAGGGAGAAAATTACAACACAAATTGTTGAAATTGGCTGCCATTATTCGCCCACAAAACACACTTTACAGTATATTATGCGTAGCGCTTTGAGACGTCTCAAAGATAACGCTCTGAATCAAATGCAAGGATTATTATTATTATTATACTGATGACATCTAAATAGGCTAATATTTTCTGCCATTATGAGATTCACAATTTCAGCTAAAAATAACAAAACGTCTTCAGTTTTCCAAAACTTTAAATAGTGGCCACATATGAAACTTCATAGCCCAAATAAATCATTGTTAGTGCAAGGCTAAATATCCTGATAAACCAAACTCAGTCCCTCTGTTATTTGTGCCTTTTTTGGAGAAGCCGTCAATATATTGGTATTTGTTTTATTTATTGGGTTAGAGGTCAGAGTTTAATTGGACAGATGGCAAGTGCCCTTTGACCTTCACATGTGAACCTTGCAAGGAGTATTTATTTCACGCTCCAGGTACAAAGTTTCTCATAATAAAATCAGTAATGCTAACTCAACGGCAAATGGCTGAACTTTTTATAGTGTGATTAACATTTTGGTCAGACCCTCCCAATGTATCGTCTTAACTTGTGCCTTGGTTGCTGTCAGATTAGTGAACTCATTCATTGCTTGTCACCAATAGATATGGCATCAATGATGGAGTCTCTGAAGGCAGGTCCATGGCACCGGATCGTGACGTTATATTGCTAGTTAGTTAGATACCAGCTCCTCATCTCCCCCCCCCCCCCCCCCCGCCACCACCACCACCCCACTCCCAATCCAACCCCCGTCCCCAAAGTGGCTGATATACCACTTAACCATGTTCACTGCGAGCCAGATCATCGAGAATGTCTCGGCTGCAATTCAGCTTCACAGAAGGAAGAGCTGAGATGGGAGAAGAATGGATTAAAATGGGTCGGAATTTCTACTGAGCATTAACGCCCCATGTATCTGGGGATTCTGGCAGATGTACTGAATATTAATGGCAGGTGTGCACAGCATTAATAGCCGATATATTGAGTATTAATAACAGATGTATTGTGTATTAATAGCGGATGTACTGGGTATTAATGGTAGATGTACTGAGTATTAATAATGGTAGTCGTACTGGGTAATAATGACAGATACACTTATTTTTTTCTTTACTGGTTGGTTGCCAGGAAGGGTGGTTCAGGTGAGGACACTCTGTCATTTAAAAACACAGTTTGATTCTATTATGGAGGGATGGATATTCTGGAGAGATGAGATCAGATAGACCGCCACATGTGGCAGCCAGTTGCAAACAGCAGTGTCCTACCAACAGCCAAGGAGTGAATGACAAACTTTATTTGGCAGATTGTTGGCCAGGACACCGGGAGAGAGAAAAACCCTTGCCTTTTCGAACAGTGCCGTGGGATCTTTAACACCCAGACAAGCAGGCGGGACCTCGGTTTAACGTCTATTCCGAAGGACTGCACCTCCGATAATACTACACATCCCTGGCACTGCATTGTAGTGTCGGTTTAGACAATGTGATTCCAAGTCCCGACGTGGGGCTTGAACCCACAACCTTCTGAATTGGAGGCCAGAGTGCTACCATTGCACCAAGCTGACACACCAACAATGGCAGATGTCCTCAGTATTAATATCAGAATTACTG